TGGTGAGCGGCTAGCCCCTGTCAGAAATAGACGCTAACTGTGAAGCTTCGTGAGACAGGGGCCTGCTGAGGATCGTTGGCGGTTACGCTTGCATATGTGCCTCTACACTGTCCAATCATACTCCTTCGCGTCGTCATTATAGCGCTTCTTGAAAGAGATGACTGCGCCGACAGACAACATAAATTGTGGGCTGCCGCCGTACAAGTACGTCTTTCAATTGAATTGTTACACTCGCTCTTTTGCTTGATCACGTCAACTCATCAACTGGTTTACATTAGTAGGTTCAAAAGCCTTGTCGTATGCATTTCATTAATTACTGACTCAAGGCATTAGTCCATCTGCCACATTCAACATGTCCTTTTACACGACGCCTAGTCGCTTAGCTCAAGCGGAGGCCGTCAATAGAGTTCTGATAGTGGCTATGAACGAAGTCAAGTTTATAGCATTCGGCGAAAAGTCAGCGATCGGAACGAGAGACCTTGCAGGCTGCTCGGTGGTCATCATTGCCTCTGCGTACGGTGCGATTCTGGCCCATATCCCGCCTCGCCCGATCCCTAATACGTCGGAACCTTACGCTGGAGATCAAAACGTACAGCGACTTATGGAAGAGGTTGGAGGGCTGTATAATCAACGCCGAAATTACTTCCCGGATACAGACACATACGCCGTCTTTGCCATCTACAACGGGGGTGTTGCCTTGCCCGACCAAAAAAGAATCATTGAAGAAAAGATCACTCAAATAGGACTACAACCCTTCAACAGCATCTTTATGTTACTCCACGAGATCCCACAAATCAAGCTCACGGCACGGTTCTCGTGGACTCGCTCAACAGGGCCGGCCAGAAACCTGTCGTCTATACGGAAGATCGCCAGGTTTCGAGTGAAACCCAGCCCCAGCCTCAGCAGCAAACCCAGCAAACTTCTCAAACCCCCTCCGGTTGGATCTAGAGTGTCGAACACCGGCGCTATTATAAGTGGGTCGTAAAAAACGGGGCCCAACAGGTCGAGTAGGCTCCTTGATAGGATGGTTTTGCACACATGGGGTAGTTATTCGATATTGTCAATCAAGTAACTATTTTGAGCGAGCGAAGGTTGTCAAGCCTTGAACTGTGAGAAAGAGGCCAGATGATGCTACAGTCTTCCTTTGCTCCTGAGAGATATCGAACAGTCATCGAATTAGGACGGTATTCTAATCGCAACGGGTCATCTGGCGGGCCGTCCTCTTCAATAAGGATTGGAGATTCCTTTGTTCCGTCTCGATCATCCTTTCAAACAGACTTAGATGAAGTTAGCACTGCTTGTATATATCTGCATACCAGAATTTTCGCTGGCTCGTTTGCATGGGCTGGTCGTTATTTATGCATTCTATTCTAGTCCTATGACCCTGTTTTGGAACCAACTTCGAGTCCTGCTCGATTCGATATGCGAGTTGTGACGGATTCAGGGATGTTAGGATGCGCCTTAGACGATGCGGTAGCGTTGTCCTTGCTGTACCCAACCTTTACAAAAGATGTTAGCGAATCTTGTTAACTTCCCGATAGGGAAGTGGGCAGCATCAACATCCTCAGAAGCGAAGCACATTTGCTCGGCCAACTTCCTCGATCTACATCCAGATAATAAGAGTACCTGAACGAGATCGAATAGGTTCCATCCAATCCCAGCGTCCATCTCTTCGTCAAATCTTTATTCCGCTAGATCTAGACCCCCAACTATGCCCTGGACATATTGGCCATCGATCAGTCTCTCGGTCCCGAACTAGAGTTCCCCATACTCGGTGAAGCACATATTGATAACAGCTAATCTCTAGAAGCGCCATAGCGGCATACAAGAACATATCATAACTCTCTGCTGGCACCGCACACAGGAAAGCCTCTCGAAACCCGCTTGGCCAATCTATTCATGAAAAATTCATAACGAGCCGGACCACGATCCGTACGGATACTCATATCGACCCTGCTGATATTCGTCCATCTCTCGAAAATGCGTATGGAGAAGGTCGGGCGGTTTAACCGAGCTCGTTGTGCTCATCTTCGCTAGCTCGTATAGATACTTTATTCATCTTCTTTCTTCCCTACCTGTCTCGTGTATGCGCGACGACAATACTAGGCATGACCATAACCACAAATAAGAGCCAGTACCCCCAGGACACCGACTGACGCCACGAGAAAATCAAGCCACAGGAATCCAGCCCAAAGCACTGGATACACGCGGTCCTTGTTCTATCGCCGCAAGGTCCCTCAACGCCGCCTACACATCCTTCCTTTCACAACTGCCAACCCTTCACCGTCGTCAAAGATACGACCTCGCACCTAAACAGTCAAGTTCCAAAGTACAGAGTAACTTTCCATATCAAAGCAAGGAATCTAATCTTATCAGATCTTAGCACCTTGACTGGGGTAGTCCCACCGAACAACAACCTCATAGCTCGGTAAAGGCTTCCAGAACCAATTACCCGTGCGCATCTGCATCTGCATCTCCGTCCCCGTCTAAGAAACCTGCATCCATCAATTTCTTCCCATGCGACCATGGAGAATAAAGCCGAAGAGAAAGTATTTGTCAAACTCTACCTTGCTTCTCCTTCGTCATGCCTACCCTACCCACCAGCACAGCGTTGGAAGAGATATGCATATGAGCAAAGGGTACCGGTACCGCGCTTTTACCCACCGTCCACAGGCTAAGCCCACAACCTCGCCTCGCCGAAAACTTGAAGTCCCACTGGTTCCTTCCCCCAGCATGGACTGGCGCATGGGTGTATGCGAAACCACCCCTGCACTCCACTTTGCAGAAAAGATGCCGGTACTGTACTTGTGGGGTACGAACGAGCTGATGACCTGGTACACGCGACGTCAGAGTCGCGGTAACGAGGATGCTGTGCGAGTTTGTTGTTGTAGGGTAGCAATATGGGGAGATGAAAAGATGTGGGGAAGTGTTAAATTTAAAAAGGCTGTTGGGAGCACGAGGGATGGGTATGGTGGTACAGGCGAGATGGGGGAGGTAAGCGAGCGAGATCTGGTGGTGTGGGTTGTGTGCTGGTTACTGGTATGCTGGTATGCACATGATCGTGTGCTGGAGATGGACGTTAGATTGCGGTGCAGGAAAGGTGCAGAAGGTAAGGAAGAAACGGTGGTGTTTGTTTTCTTTGGGATGCGGGGCCAACTGCTTTGGGAATCGACGGTGGTGGAGTAGTGATCTGCTTTTAAACGATGGTAGTGATATTGGTGGCGGTGGTGATGATGATAGAGATGCTATAAGTTGTGGATGCGGGTTGGTGTGGTCGGTGGGGAGTGACGCATAAATTGACGTTGATGAGCAGATGGCCGCTGGTAGAGAAAGGTATTGGATGATTGTTGCAATTGCTTGATGTGATGCTCGCATCTCGCCGCTGCTGTCGCTTGGCTTTGAGAAGCTTCATTTTCTTGTGCCAAGTGAACTCTGCGTTGGGCTGGACGTTGAAGAGGTGTGGTGGTATGCATGTGCTGGGTGACCTCGTGGCTACCGCGTTTAATCCATTTCACAACCAGCTGCACGGATAGTCGGACGGACGGCGTGAATAGTGAAGAATTCTGTGATCATTCGGTGCGCTTCTTCTACGTTTCGAGTCTATCGTGCGTTGGCTTCAACAATGCCATGTATGTGGTCGGTTCCAAGAGCTCTATCCAAACCAAGATCATTCCCCCCGACGGAAGAATGCCTGTCTCGCTGGTATGCACCGCTCCGTATCCTCCTTTCAATCGCTCTGCATAGCTCTTCCACATGCACTGAACCTCTGTGCCTCACCCCACCACCTCATCCCCCTCCGCCCTCAACCTCTCCTCCACCCCCTTCCACCCCCTCAATACCACATCAGCCATAACCCCACCCCTCCCCAACAACCCCACCGCCTCCTGCAACCCCACCAAAAAACTTTTATACCCCGCCTCCTCCTCATCCACACCCGTGCCCTCATGCTTCACAGGCTCATACCCCTCTTCCTCCATCGCCATCCTCTGCCTCAGCGTCAAGTCCGCCGGGAACGCAGGCGGCGCCTTATACGGCTCATCCCGCGCGGTCACGAGCTCGGCTTCGAGCGCCGGCGGTATCGTCTCCGCGATGTACCAGTACACAACGTATTGTCTGGCGGGGTCGAGGGGCATGAATTGGATCCATACGGGCTCTGCGGTGAGCGGGGGCAACGAGATGCGGGGGTAAGCTTGGGGCTGGAGATGGGGGATTGGGAGGGGGAGGAGACGGTTACGGTATCCTGACTGTCATGTATGTCTCTATCAGTTCTTTTTTTCCTTTCTTGCCCAACTTCCACATACAACATGTTGTACAATGTATGTACAGTACGTACCTCCTCAAACCCCTCCCTCTCCGCTCCCCGTCCCGCATCTTCCCCCGCATCTCGTCGCCCCTTGGGGAGAAAGTAATACGTCCTCCCTTGTCTGTCCTCGGCGCTGCATATTACTACCCGAGCGCTCTTGAGATGGAAGATTGCTACGCCGCCGCCTTGGACAAAGTTCTCGGATGCGATTTGACCGAAGATGGCTTGGGTCGAAGGCGGCGTTGTGTGCGCCATTGTATCTGTAGGTAACGTAGAAGGTGTTCCAGGGGCGTCTGAAATTGAGGGAGACGTGGGAGCGACCCTTAAAAGGGCGGTGATGTTAGGCAGCAGCGCTGGCAGCCTTCAAGGACGCGGGCGCAGGCGTTGTGCATGTCGTCGCCGCCGCTCCTGAAGGGTGAATTGAATGCGCCTTAAGCGCAGCCATAACTGTAAACTCCGAACTTGCGGAACGTTGCATTAAATGCAAGATAGCGAAAATGAGTCGTGAGGAATCTTGTCTCCGAAGTTCTCTCAGGTGCAAGCATCTATGGCTAGCGTCATTTTTCTCCCACTTAGTACATCCCGGCTTTACCGAAGTTTTGATGCCTGCTTCACCCAACCCCACGCTTTAGAAATTTTCTCAACAATATTATAGGATATATATTTATCATAAGAGAAAACTCTCATAACTCAAACAGGACGTGTGGCCCAATGGCAAGGCGCTTGACTACGATTGATTAAGTAATCAAGAGATTCCAGGTTCGACCCCTGGCACGTTCAAAGCCAATTTCTTTTTGCCCTATTTTTGTGTCTTTTTGCACCTCCTTTTACTCCTGTCTGAACATACTGGATGTTTCTACTGGCTATGTTCTAAACCACATATAGAGAACTCATCGAGTTCTGCGATACCTTTTTGAAGCCTCTGTTGCTGTTTAAGTCCAACTACCACGTGGCTGAAGTACACGGATAAAAGTCGCAGTGTCAGGAGTGAGGCATGGTAACTCTTCGGTTTGGGGAAGACGCTAGACCTACTTCCATAATGAAAGACGAAGTACACACTCTCTGATATGCCAAAAGGTCCTTATTAGGCGCCGACCCAAACCCAGGCATTAAAACGCAAGGGCAGTAGAAGAAGTCCCATGACTGAAAACGACAGCAGAGTCCGTGCGATACAAAGAAGCGTTGCAGTCTCAGAGATCATACACGATATCTGTTCGTTTAAACAAATGCTAAAACTACCAACACGATAAACGACGCCAGCCGAAATAGCTACCCTCTAGTATGCCAGTAGCCCCTGCTGTTCCAAACGCCCATCTAAGAAGCCAACGCCTTAGAATGGATGGGAATGCAGTAGATGTCACACGGCCGAAGAAGACAGGAAAGGAGAAACGATCCCTAGAAGAAAAACACACCTCGGAACACCAACACCAAAAGGGACTTTTCCACCCACCCAAACGATACGATACGATACGATACCGAAGAACGCCAGAGAGATGTGCCGAAATCTACATCGAAAAGTTGAAAGAAATGATAAAATGCCCTGCGTTATAGACCTCTATCCCCAATCAATACCCCAACAAACGCCGTGGAAAACTGGATACGAACGAGCGGGCGGCCGCTACTGATGCGGATGCGGATGCTGATGATGTTGTTGATGCGCCTGCCCGTGTTGCTCACCATCCCAAGGCCCGCCCTGGTACTCCAACGGATGCCCATACAAATCCACATCAACATCCAACCCCATACCCATCTCCGGGCCGAAGTGCTGCTGCAAAGCAGCCGTCGGATTATACCCACCCATGGTCGGATACTGCATCTGCGTCTGCGTAGTACCCGGCATCGGATTCGGAACCCTGCTCCAATCGATCGGATTCATGCAGTCCAACGGGAGCGAGTCGATAGGCGTCATCGCGGGTATCATGGGCGGAGGTTGTGATATACTGGCTTGGAAAGCGTTGGGTGAGGGGATTTGCTGGAATATGTTTGAGAAGGCGGACTGTTGTGGTGGTTGGACTTGGTGTTGGTGGTGATGGTGATGCTGTTGTTGATGCTGTGGTAATGGAGGCGAAGTATCCATCATATATGAATTGCGCTTATGATGACGCATAGGTGGCTGCGCGAGAGGAGAAAATCCACTGACAATCTCCTTCTCCTTCCTCTTTCCCTTCTTATCACTCTTCCCCTCCATCTTACCATACTCCTGCCACGAAGCCATAGTGGAACCGTCTTTGAAGTGGTTAGCGATGTGCGTCTCCCTCTTATCCCACGTTTCGAGTCGTTCGGTACAGAAACCGCATGTCCAGCCCTCTTTGACGGTTTCAGCAGGCCTCTTCCATCGCGCCTGGGCGACATCGTACAGTGTCGCGTTGTGGAAGTTCTTGACGTGTTGGCGGAGGTGGTCGGGTCGGAAGAAGGTTCGATCGGTGACGTCTCTTTTCGCGCAGTCTTCGATGCGGTGGTGGGTTTGGAAGTGGGTTTCGGGTGGGTTCTTCATGTTGCAGAAGGCGCAGATGGAAGACGAATTCGAGCGCGCTGGGATTGATAGACGTGGGCCGTATAACATACACGTCCATTGCGCTTTGGGACGGTGCTGTGTTTCTTCATGACGCCTCCATGATTTGGGCACTAGCGACTTGCGGCAAAATGTGCACTGCCACATTTCCGGATCGGAGGGAGTTCCAGCTGCCGTGGTATCGTTCATCGATAAGGAGCTGTCGGCTGTCGCTGTCATATCCCGTGAGAACGCGTGGTCGCTTTGCCCTGGGTAGTATTCCAATGGAGAGCTGACGAGAGCTGGCGAAAGAAGAGTTGGAGTTTGCGTCGGAAGAGGAGCATTTGTGTTGCCTTGACGATATACCTTCTTCTTCCCTCTACGGCATGGTCGCTGTCGTGCCTGTGTCGGTGAGAAAATGCTGGCACCGGAAACTGAAGCAGCTCGCCCGTATTTCCCCTGCTGTCGTCCTTCAGGTACGAAAGTCAAACCACCCATATCGCCAATCGGGATGTCCGCTACATTATCGCCCAGTTCGCCGTCCGACATACCGTCATCGCTGCTCTCTGTCACGTAGTCGTCTAGAGAGTTTAGCTGTCTTGCTCGGGCATTTGTAAACCAAGTCGTCACTTGCTTCTCCGTAATTCCACACTCTTGAGCGAGCTGCTGCTTCATATCTGCACTCGGATAAGGGTTATGTCTATTCGCATCTAGCCAGGCCTGGAGACGATGAAGCGCGTTTGGGGGTAGCTTTGAGTTCCGGCCTGCCCTAGATCGCTTAACCGAGTATTGCGATGATGCAGGAGAAGTTGGTGAGAGAAAAGCAGGATCGGGAGAACTGCTGGAGCAGACGTGGGTGCCGGATGGATCCATCATAGCAGAAAGCTCACAAGCTGAGCACCGTTGATTGTGGTGGGCGTGTTTGGCAGATTCGCTTGTAGGATGAAGTCCACTTGCGTGTGTTGGATCGAAATTGGAGACGGGTTGTTTTTGGCTAAGGTCGGGTATGCTGAGCTTCGGGTACGATGCTCGTCCTTTAGAAGAAGATTGTGATGATATAGGTTCGATAATGTCAGGGAGCCGACAATTGCGGCATTTGATGTTCTCTCTTGGACTTGCGATCCTCAAGAGTTCACATTGCTCACAACGCTCTTTTCCATCAGCGATATCCCGAAGCTGAAAGTCACTATTTGATGTGTCGACGGTATAGACACTCAGACTTGTGTCCATAGGCTCGATTGTTGAATCGTCTCTGTACTATCCTCGAATTGGTTCTTGTCTTCAACAATGGGGAATACAAAACTTACAAGCAGACTATCGAATCCCAATCCGACCGGCTTCCGGGCTTTGTCATGAAAACTTTCGTTTGAAGGACATGCAAGAGACTGCAGCTACTTTTCATGAGCCACTGTATTGTAGACAGGGAGTAGATCCTCGTACCGACTGGGCCAACCTATCGTCTTCTTCCCACACGCTCGTCCCGTATCCCGAATCGAAAGACCAGATGCTTGGCGCCGTACGTTTTGGGCTAAAGTCGTGTGGAGACAACATAGTGCCTCAAAGGCGAATGGTTTGTGAATCCTGTGGCAATTGTGATTGTAATTGTGGTATCGGGGTGTCGCATGGAATAATGGTTTAGTGTAGCTCGAGATCAAACCAGCGGCGAGAGCGACGCGGCCTCCAGTATACATATCGACTACCAAACCCCACAACGGTATACCATTGTAGGGTTTTGTGGCTGTAGACATTGTCTTTGGTATCTCTAATCATGCGGTGAGCGCCACACTTGGGTGCGCCATGAATTGTGGTCCTATTCTTACAGCTCGACAGGGGCCTGCTTTGCTCACGTTTCGAGCAAGCCTGAGGCTGAGAGGCCTTTTGGGGTCCAAAGCTATGCCTTTCACGGCTATGACGAGGCTGGCCATCCAATCGGAAAGGCCTCTTGTGCTCATTGCCGTACTTTGCACAGCCATCAACTCCGAGCACCGCCACTGATCGATTGGCTGTGATGAGTTTGCGAAGCGTTTGGAGGTGAGCGAAGGTCGGCAGCCGCCGGACAAGATGCTGGACAGCACACGCCTCGTGCCGGCGGGGTATTCGTCTGACGTGAACTCTCCTCCCGTCGTTGTTCGTGACGTCAAGCCGCAAGGCTATGTGTTGATCGATAAGCGGCGTAGTTTAAAGCGGTCACGAAACTCGCGTGAACTGGCGGGTCACTCCGGTCTCTCCGAAAGTCTTTGGACAAAGAGGTGAGCTGGGATACGATCTCAACTCATATATATCCGGAAGAGGTAGATGGGGTGAATATGGATTGGAAGAGATGTTGGGATGTGCTTCGCATTGTCGTAGTAATGTTCGCCCAGTAGAAGATGACAGGATGAAGGTCGAAAATAGCATCCTCGCGTGAGTGAAAATACCGTTTTCTAAGATGAGGTTGCACGGACACGTCAATACAACGTCTTTTGATTGTGTGGCCATCGTGGGATTGCGCGTTTTGCATCGTTCATCCCTTCGTCTCGGACCGAGTGTCCATGGCAAACACCTAAGCCCCAATAACTCCCTCTCTCATCACAACTCTGATCCTCGAAATCTTCCACACCGCACATGGCAGAAGCTCCCATCCCCGTTCGCAGTTCTATGATCAGATCGGCGGTTGGAGCGGTAAGTTGCGAGCTGTGCGCAGTCACCCCGCTTGTCTACCAGGAATCGTCCAGTAACTTACCCGGCCAGCCCGAGATCGGTCGGACGACGAGGTTCAATCCATCGCAACCCCCCAGTCGGTAGGTGGAACGATGTTCGAAGAGAGCGGTGAAATGTTTTCATCGAGGAAGGCAGATTTCATCGACGTCTTGGTGAAGGAAGTCAACAGAAGGATATTCACTGGTGAGCCCTTTCCCAGCGTCGCCGCCCAGGGAAAGCACCACCCCTCACATCTCATACCACATGCGTCATCACCATCATAATCACATCACACACAAAGTCCCATAAACTACGCAACGAAACATGCTCGGGTATTTCATTTTAATAAAAGCGCCACCCCTCTCCATCGAACCCAACTATTCCACTCCACTCCAATCCAATATCAATATCAATAAAGCACCACCTCACTCTACACCAACCATTGCCCCAATCCCAATCCAAGCTATGAACCCCCCTCAAAAATCTCATCAAGCAGAGCCATAGCTCAGAAAGACAAGACTCTATGCTCCCGTTCCACAGCCCCCCATGGACCATGCAAAAGGAAAAGAAAGAGGGGTCTAATAGCCCAAAAATGCATAAATCCAAACAT